TTCTTTTAGTATGGTGCGTGCATGTAAATGGATGAAAATAAATGAAGAAATTTATGTAAATCTACCCAAAAATATAGTTGAAAAACTTTTTATAAAATGTACTACAGTATTGTACACTAATGTACAACATTTTATATATATATATATATATATATATATATATATATATATATATATATATATATATATATATATATATATATATATATATATATATATATATATATATATATATATATATATATATATTTTTTAATTCAGCTAGACAGTACGGTACTCGATCAGAGCAAAAAAATAAAACCAAATAAAATTAATAATAAGAATGGTCTGTCATGATAAAACATTTTGATGAAATCATGTTGATTAATATACACCTTCAAACACAGAAGCACAAACGTGAACAAAATCCCACATCTGTCATGTTGTTAGGTGCTGACAGCAATCATATCTGAAACCAATGAGTGAATTCCAATCCCCTGGCAGATATAATGAAATCACATTTCCAAGCAAGGAAACTTGATTTTTCTCACACTTTTTAGTACATTATACAGTAGGCTCTCACCAATAACGTTTAATAGGTGCCTGAAAAACACTGTTATTAGCGAAAACATTATTTGTGTGACATTAAAATACATGTAAAAAGGGTTTATTGGTGCCGCCGCCACAAGAATTTCACCCATTTTTTCCCCTTGAAGCCCTCCTAACAGTTTTTGTTAGCTGAAATAAAAAGAATTGCTATTCAATCATCAAAATAAAGAGTTTGAGTAATATAACACTTAGCTTGGGGAGTTTTTGAGGTGCTTGGTGTGATGATTGCTCCGTATCTGAGGGCCGCTAACACTTGCACTGTCTTTCATTCTACAAGCTTACCATTTCACAAGAAAATGCTGTTATCACTAACAACCTGTTTCTATTGCATTTATCATTCATAGCTCGCCTTGCATTTCCATCACTACCGAAATATTTTTAGCCAGCACAATACTCTTCTTGGTCTCCTCTAAGTTCCTCTTAATATTTCACACTGTAGACTCAGGACAGTTCAATTTCCTCACTTTAAAAGTTCCCAGTCATTCAGGTGGCAAATCACTCCCTCCACCACCTCCCCTAGCCCCCACAGGCAAAAATGCGGAAGCCATTATTGATCACCGACCCTAACAACCACTGGTTATAGTGGCGAAAATCTCACACGTGGGCGCAGCGCTGTATTCCACTGAGCGTGTGTGACAGTGAGAGTGAGGTGGAGTGGACAACTACGTCATCAACATGGTGGCAAACAAATGCTATCATTGATGCGCTCGGACGCTTCCCGCAAAATTTCCGTTATTCAAGACAATCCAGACGTTATTATCGAAAATGGGTATCTATTGTAACTTACCGTTATTGTCGAAAACGTTATTGTGAAAGTCGTTATTGGCGAGAGCCTACTGTATATTTGCAATAGACATAACAATTTTAGTACCGTAATCATTTAGTACATGTACAATACAGGTTTGCACTTATGTCCATTGTTACTGTACAATATTGACTAAATTCACTAGATAACGTACGCCTGGCCGCACAATCTATAAGAATACGCAATGCATACGTGACTGTGCCCGCTCTAGGTCCATTTCGGTTCGCTAGGTCCCATTATTTGAATGTTTTTGTTTTTTTTTCAATTTAAATTTTAATTGTTTATTCCTTGATAGAGGAAGCGGGATCCTAGTGCTGTCACTTGGTACCCCTGTACCATAACACCAGAAGCAACTGGCCAGTGTCACAAGTATATACAGTACAGTACAGTCATCCCTTGGTTATCGAGCCTAATTGGGACCTCGCCGATAACGAAAGTACAGAACCTATGGGATTTATTCTAATTGGTTCAGGCACCCAAGACCCAACCCCAAGTTTCCCATTTTACGACCATTTAGACCCACTAAATATATATACAGTTGGTCCTCATATTACGCGGTTAATGTAACCCGGAGGGTACCGCGGAAAGTGAGAAACGCGTAAAGTGAATAACATAACATATGGGATTAATTGAAATGGAGTCCGGGCCGATCCCCAAACTCCACTTTTTGACGACACACAACTATGTTGTAGTAAAAATATTATCTTAACTTTATGATGGCATGCACACACAATTAATAATTAAGAGAAATATCAATAATATTAGGTTTTTTAACACTTACATTAGTAGAAAAGATGGCTGGGCACACGGGGATGGGCGGTTGGTTCCGAGGCAGAGGGCAGATTATTGGCCCTCACCTGTATCACTTGTATCAATTGTATCACTATCCACCACAGAGGCTTGCAGGGCCTCTTTGTCAAACCCCCCAAAGTTCATATAAGTCCATATCCTCACTATAATTATCACTATCACTGACTTGGGCCGGCTGTAGTGGGTGGCGGGTGAAGAACTGGTCATGTTTTGATGACTGGGCGACCTTGTGCGCACCATTTTCGCGCCTCTTACACAACATGGCGGATGGCGGGAGGTTTGGATCCAAAAATGGCGCGGCTTGCCAGCCGCTCTCCGCGTAATGGGGTTCACGACCGCGGAATGTGAAAATGTTAGGTTCTGGCAAGGCACCGCGTTAACGGTGAAACGCGGAATGCGGGACCGCGTAATATGAGGACCAACTGTAGTGTATAATGTTATGGTAAATATCATAAACACACATAGGCATGGCTAGGTTTATTACAAAGTGATGAAAAGGGTACGCTTAACACTGTAGTCCACAAAACATGTAGCTATGCTTTTTTTATTTGGTCCCCCGTCATACGAGTCCGTTTTCTCTCACATCAGGACGCCTGAGTCCTCCGTTTTCTCTCTTAATCTTAGAGTGCACCAGAAACTTGCAATTGGGGTTGCAATTGTTGAGGCAACTAGATATGTCTGATTACAGCAAATGTGTTATTGTCAATTTGTAGGTGAAAGATGTTATCCTCAATAGATGTAGGTTAACATTTCACCTGTAGGCAAATGCTTAAAAAAAGCCTAAGTAAGGAAGCATATTCCTTTAACACATAATATCTGACCAGTATGGGGAGGATCATCGTGTCTCCGTCAGGGGGTCGTGGAGTGGTGGTCCAGCAGGCGTCACTTTTGCAGGGCGTATATGCGATTGGACGTTGTTCGGTCGGACGTTAACCGGCGCATGACTGTATTTGTCTCATTATGTAAACGTTGTAGAAAGTATTTTTATTTTTTATACAGTTATGGAAGACTGTAAGAAGCAGGTATGAAGTATAAAAAGAATTAGAAATTATATGTTGATGAAACAAGAAAGTATTGGAACAGTGTTTTGGTGGCACTCTCGGTAGCTAGGTTGAGGAGGATAGGAGGGTCAAGCTTGTGTGGTGCACATTTATCTATTATTATCTGGGCAATCATGGATAATTATGGTGTTAACTAAAGTGTAATATGTTCAAAATAGTCTAAAGAGTATTGTAGTAGTGAGAGAGTATTGTATTTGGTCGAGATAACATTATTCTGAGTGAATTGATTTGTAGCCTTCTGTATGCACCTGGATGGACAGCACATATTTATTATATTTTGTTGTTAAATATATTTTGTTGTAATTTTAAAGCTGTGTTTTGAGTAAACCAGTTTTGATGGAAACAGTGGTATTGAAATGAACACCTGTCAGCTGTCAGGAGATTGTTAGCTGGAAATAAGGTAAAGGTCTGTGCTTAACATTTAACCTCTCTGTTAATAGAAGCTGTTATTTCAGAGTCTCCTCTGATATATTGGGCCCATGGGCTGACTATACATCTTCTACTGAGTCCTAGAAGAGGGTGTGAAGGTTGTAACACTACTCTGTCGTGAAGTTGAGCGACTGTTACCTACACTGCCTGTGCACAGGGGGATCTACTGGCCAGCTATTTGTAATATGTATTAGTACAGCTGAATATATTATTTTTCACCCTTGTACACGTGTTTTATGTTAATTTTGTTTTAAGAATATTGTATAAAAATCACTTGCATATTTTTCACGTCCTACTATTTATACTGTGTTGGGTGTTGTCATGTCAACCATGAGTGTGGTGTTGAATATTCAATTAAGCAAAGTAATGCTATAATAACTAAACCTACAGTAAAATTTAATAACTAGAAAAGTTCACAATATAAACATTTTGTCATTTATTACATACCGGTAACTGGGCATGAATATTAAAAGGTATTATAATTAAATAAGTTTCATCAAAAAGCCCCTAGACACACACAGTTAAAGAAATCATTTAATTTTTTATATTAAAATAAAAGTTGAAGCAAAGGAACTTACGACATTTGCCTTCTTAGTTGCTTAGTTCCGTAACAATACCTCTACGTACAGAAGTTCCATCTACAGCTCGTGAATTGATAACGAAGGTTTTGTCCAAAGCTATTAGACAACTCTGCAAGATGTGAAGCAAACCTTTGAGACACATAATCCAGACCATGAATGCAACCTCAAGTTCACAAGAGGATTGAACATCCTGATAAGGGGATAAAAGGAGCTGTGCACTGAAAAATTATGCCATCAACGATAGACCACATTGGATAAGTTCTTTGTCCCAAAACCTCAGTCAACAGCCAAAGAAGATAATGATGATCCATGGGGTGAGACAGGAATCAGCAGTGAACCACTGTCTCCCTCCCAGTAACTCCAATTGCACTACCTTACCATCGCTCAACATCACTTCTGGTATTTTTTTTTTTCCCAACTATAGATGAAATTTTTAGAAAAAAAGACGACCTTATATGAGTTAAAGGTTAAATAAGCACTAGTGTTTGTTTCAGTCCCTCATACATTATCACAGATTATCAATATTGTACCTCACAGGACAAGAAACCACTCCATGGTCCAGAGGAAAAAAATAATTCTCCACAATGGCAGGGGTTCCTGTTAAGTGGAGCGAGGTACCTTAGTCACTGCAGGGAAAAAATTGCTGCCTGTTGGTGAGAAAGAATACCCTGTAAATAAGTCAGAGAAATTAAGTACAAGGTTGACTTTAGTAAAAAATATATTTACCATCAGTGGATACAGAAATGTGAGGAAGGAGGCCATGGCACAGATGGCAGTGGAAGACACGGTACACAACTGAAGCAAAGGTACCATCACAGCTTGTGTACACAGTAGTCCAACAGTTACCACCACTGCCAAACCACTGCCTTCAACACTACCATCCCTCAGCAAATCTGGAAGATTCATAAGAACCATAATTAGTTACTTATATTCATAAAAAGCATTAAAGAGCTATGCTACCAATATTTGCAGAATAATCCCTCACCAACTACAAGAGTTGCATTTAAAAATTCTCCCATGGTTGATCAAAACTTCAGGTAGCAAGGGCTGGGTCTAATGGGAAGGAGAGATTAAAGTGACCCATGAAAAATATACAGGCATCCCTTGCTATACGAGCATTCAAGAAATTAAAATACACGATGCTCATTTCTACTAGTATCCAAAAAGGTCCTGACATTCCATACAGCGACAATAAGATGTTGTAAAGTTTGTTTTTCTTTTGATCTGTGATTATAATTGTGTTCTCGACCACATAAGGATGACCTTACTGGGTGCAGCACCTTTTCTAGACCCCTACCCATGTAGGGTGAGCAGAGTGGCTCCTCGAAATGGCTCCTCAGTTTCACGGACAGGACCAGATTCCACTGCTGCCTAGATCCGAGTGCATAAATGACCATCTTATATGTGCTGCCCATGCGCAGAGTTGTGACTAGAGACTCCCAGCAGTCATCTATGCCTGTCACCGTCGCCACACGTCCGTCACCGTAGGACTTTTGGGGATATAGGGGTTTTGATAATGATGAGGAGTATGATGAGCTGGATGATGGCTGTAAGTGAGTTGATTTATGTGGTGAGGCAGGAGTGCAGGCTGCAACCACACATCTTACTCTCCATTTTCCTAATCCAGTGGTGCAAATGTTGCAACAACTGGGGAGATGGAGAGTTGCAATGGACTGCTGATAGCCCAGTTTGTTGGGTTTCGCCTTAGTAGCCTGTCCATCACGCAATGCCTTCATATGCCGGTGAAGTCTTTGGATTACCATGGGGGTCACCTCTTCCGCCTACTCTGCAGTTGAGGTCTTTCTCTCTCTCAATTAATTTGATCTATTCCTTTGTGTATGAACCTCTGTCCTGCGTGGCAGTGAGAAGTGATACCACCCGCAGTGTCAAGACCTGACTGAATTACTCAGAATAGGCAAACTGTGCTACAAGCTTTGTCAATAAATTTGTTAAACTAAAAAAATCTCTCTCTCTCTCTCTCTCTCTCTCTCTCCTCTCTCTCTCTCTCTCTCTCTCTCTCTCTCTCTCTCTCTCTCTCTCTCTCTCTCTCTCTCTCTCTCTCTCTCTCTCTCTCTCTCTCTCTCTCTCTCTCTCTCTCTCTCTCTCTCTCTCTCTCTCTCTCTCTCTCTCTCTCTCTCTCTCTCTCTCTCTCTCTCTCTCTCTCTCTCTCTCTCTCTCTCTCTCTCTCTCTCTCTCTCTCTCTCTCTCTCTCTCTCTCTCTCTCTCTCTCTCTCTCTCTCTCTCTCTCTCTCTCTCTCTCTCTCTCTCTCTCTCTCTCTCTCTCTCTCTCTCTCTCTCTCTCTCTCTCTCTCTCTCTCTCTCTCTCTCTCTCTCTCTCTCTCTCTCTCTCTCTCTCTCTCTCTCTCTCTCTCTCTCTCTCTCTCTCTCTCTCTCTCTCTCTCTCTCTCTCTCTCTCTCTCTCTCTCTCTCTCTCTCTCTCTCTCTCTCTCTCTCTCTCTCTCTCTCTCTCTCTCTCTCTCTCTCTCTCTCTCTCTCTCTCTCTCTCTCTCTCTCTCTCTCTCTCTCTCTCTCTCTCTCTCCTCTCTCTCTCTCTCTCTCTCTCTCTCTCTCTCTCTCTCTCTCTCTCTCTCTCTCTCTCTCTCTCTCTCTCTCTCTCTCTCTCTCTCTCTCTCTCTCTCTCTCTCTCTCTCTCTCTCTCTCTCTCTCTCTCTCTCTCTCTCTCTCTCTCTCTCTCTCTCTCTCTCTCTCTCTCTCTCTCTCTCTCTCTCTCTCTCTCTCTCTCTCTCTCTCTCAGGAGAAGTAAGCCATTGGGATTACACTTGCCTAGTCCATATCTCCCTAAGATTCCCTGCCAAATGTCACCATCTCTGCCAATTCCGGCATTGAAGTCACTTAGGAGCTCAACCTTATCTTCTCTGGGAATACAGGTTAGTACTCTGTCAAGGTCGGCGTGAAAAGCCTCCTTGATGTCATCCTCTGCATCCAGTGTTGGGGCATGACATTAATGCATGCACTCACTCAGGCAAACACACACACACACAAAAAGAAAAAGAAAAAAACAAGAATAAAGACAGCAAGCATGAGGAGTGAGGGTCTTACTGTATGAAAAATTTGCGTGTGTGTGTGACTGCGTTGTAGCGAGTTAAATATCAGCTGTTGAGGAGAGCTTGGCAACACTGGTGCATGTTAGCTCACCTTACCACACCATCTCTCTACTCACCCACACCTTTTTTGATTTCTCACTCCATATTCTAAAATGTTATGTAATGTAATGCTGAAGGGATACAACATTGCTCATTTATACATACACTTATCACAATCTCCCTCAAAAATAATTTAGCTTTTCTTTTCATTCAAGACATCTTCAGGTCATGAGATGCACTAATCCCCCACCCAACAATGGGTGACTTGATATTGCATCAGAAGGTCAGTAATATGAGACCACTAATCCCCCACCCTACCTCCACCTGACATTGTGTCAGGTCAGGTCAGTTACATGAGACCCACTAATCCCCCACAGCTCCATGGGAGTGGAAAATACCAGTCTTTGCTGTAACACACAGCTTCATTCATACCCTATCATATAGATTTTTAGTTTTTAAATATATTTATTAAACCAAACTTTTAGATAAACTATTCTGATTTATTCTAATAAAGAATGGAGTTTCTAACTTAATTAGAACTGCTTTTACAGACTCCAGTAATTTAGATTCTCGAAAACATTCCTTATCACCCAGAAACGTTCTGGGGATGTGAGCTAGTGTCTGTCTGTGCAAGATGCATAGTTTAAACAATCGGAAAATTTTCTCAGTACAGTGATCCCTCAGTTAACGAACTCAATTCGTTCCAGAGGGTTGCTCGTTAACCAAAAATTTCGTTAACCGAAACCATTGTTTCAATGGGGTATTGGGTAATTGGTTCCAGCTCACAGAAAAGTATATACAAAGTAAAGCCAAAAATGCATAAAGTCAAAAACAGTCCTAAAATTCCCCTAAATCGCCCTTAAATCACTATATATATCGTACATATACACTAGAACTCTTAAATCACTACTGTACAGTTTTACCCCGCCTAACGCGGTTTCACTTAACGCGTTTTCGCATATACGCGGTGCCTTGCCAAAGCTGAACTTTCACTTAACGCGGATTTTTTCTACATATACGCGGTGAGTGTCCGGCTCGGATGCTATTTTTAGATTTTGCCCACGCGCCACGCGCCACCCGCCCGCCCGCCTGCCTGCCTGCCTCTCCCTCCTCCTCCCTCCGCTTGGGCAAGCGGCGCGGTAAGGTTGCGCAGTGTGTGTCTTTGTTGCGTTATCACTGACGTCATATGACGTCTCGGACTGTGATTGGCCATGCAGCCCTACCCCCCTCTGCTGCTAGCTGTAATTGGCTTAAAGTATTATGACGTGACTACCCCGAGGGAGGGAGGGAGGGAGGAGAGACGACGCTTGACCTAGCCGCGGCAGTTTCATCCCTCAAGGCCACCCCGGGTTAACGCGCATCCATTGTTCCGTAAAATGGCTTCCGCCGGACCACCACCGCCCCCAGAGAGAGACCTTTCCTCACCTGGACCCAGCGGCACTAAACCAAAGAAGACACGACGTTCATTAAGCTACGAGGTGAAGTACCAAATTGTTCAAGATTTGGAGAAAGGAAGACGCCAAGTTGATCTCGCGCGCCAGCATGGCGTCAACGAATCTACGATTCGTACAATCAAGAAGGATGCAGCCAAGATCAAAGACCACATGAAAATCACAAAGTCTGCAGGTGCTTCATCTATCAGGTATTGCCAGAACAGGGTGCTGGCAAAAGTGGAAACTTTGCTGGTGAGTTATTTGGTGCGTCAGGCGCGACGCAACATGGCGGTGGACACGCGCTCAGTGCAGGAGTACGCACGTGAGCTATACGCAGCAGTGACACGTAAACTGGGAATTGCAGAGCCCAAACCCTTCAATGCTTCCTCTGGTTGGCTGCATAGGTTTAAGAAGAGGAACAAGATCACCAACATCAACATTGGTGGTGAGGAAGCGAGTGCTGACCGTGTGGCGGCTAGAGATTTTCCTCCGTTTTTACGTGAGATTATGGAGGAAGGACAGTACAGTGACGACCAGGTGTTTAACATGGACGAATCTGGTCTTTTCTGGAAAAAGTTACCTTCCAAGACCTTCGTTGTCCAGTCTGCGAGCAAGGTAAGGGGCGGAAGATGCAGAAGGAACGCATCACCGTCCTGTTTACCACCAATGCCTCCGGTACCTGTAAACCAAAGTTATCGGTGATTCACAAAGCCCGCAAGCCGCACGCCTACAAGAATATGGACATGAACAAGCTTAATGTCCACTGGCTAACCGCACGTAAGGCGTGGATGTCCTCTTCTCTGTCCCTCTTCTGGTTTGACAACTGTTTTGTTCCTGACGTGCAGAAATTCTGCGAGCAACAGAATGTTTCATTCAATATTTTGTTGCTCCTTGACAACGCACCAGGACACTCGCCCCTACTTATGGATCGTCACCCCAACGTAAAAGTGGTCTTCCTTCCTCCCAACACTACGTCATTAATCCAGCCTATGGACCAGGAGTTGATCTGCAATGTGAAAGCTGCGTACTCTGCAAAGAAGTTCAAGCTCCTGAACGACTCTACCAACACCAAGGATGAGTTGCGTAAGCTGGGTGACACCGACAGCGAGAGTAAAAGCGACGAGGACAAGGAACAAGAGGCGGCGACTCAAGAACTTCTCGTCAAACAATTTTGGAAGAAGTTTAACGTTAAACAAGCTGTAGACTTCTTGGTGGAGGCATGGGATCTGCTGACTATTGCTACGATTCGTCACGCATGGAGACATGTGTTGCATGGCATACCAGGTGAGAGGAGGAGTGAACCTGTGACTGGTCAGGTTCAGACTGTTGCAGTAGCAGTGGACCTTGCCAGAGAAGCTGCGCTCAGTATTACAGCTGAAGGCTTCTCCGAGACCACCAACGAAGACATCATGGAGGTGATCAGAGATCCTGAAGTGACTGCCGACGAGATGTTGGAAGAAGAACCCGCCAGTGAAGAGGAGGAAGAAGGTGCGTCATTCTCCGAAGAACCTAGTTTAAGTCATAGTGATATTAAGTGTCTCATAGAGTTTACAGAAAAAATTAAGTCCATCGTTTCCCGCGACAATGACGATGAACGCCATGACGTCTTCCATACCCGACTGGTGCAGGCTATGGAGCCGTACATCAAGGTGTATCACGACAACATCAACACCAGCCGTCATTAAAGCATAACCGAGTTCTTCGCCCGCAACCCACCACAGCCAGTCCAAGCCAGTGATAGTGAGAGTGAAGTTGATTTTGAGGGATTTGTCAGGGAAGCCATGACAACTGTAAGTGACAGTGATATTGATTCACCTAGTAATGGTGATTCACCTAGTAATGGTGATTCACCTGAGGGGCAGTAATCTGCCCTCTGCCTCGGAACCAGCCTCCATCCCCGTATGCCGACCCATCTCTTCTACTACCGTGAGTGTTCCTTAAAAATTTTCGTTTTTTAACCTATTTTTTATTTTTCCTATGTTAACCTTTATCTTTCCTAACCTAACCTCTTCTAAATTACTTGTTTTCATGCCTACCATAAAGTTAAGATAAATTTTTTACTACAACATAGTTTGATAGCAGGTGATTAATTTTATCTCTGCAAAATATATGACGCTTATATTCAAATTATTCGCTTGCTCCAACGATTCCAGCAATGCAAATTATATTCTCCTAATCTTTAGTCTGAGATATTATATACTATAAAAAATAAGCCTCAAAACCCTGTCTGAGGAGAGGGGGGGGGAGGGAGGGAGGGAGCAGGAGGTGAGGTGATATGTTTGACAGTTGGAGCCATCATTTTGTACATGTACAGTACAGGTTTGCACTTTAGGTCATTTATTTTTTAAGTTTTTTACTATGGTGTGTGCATGTAAATGAATGAAATAAAAGAAGAAATTTATGTAAATCTACCCAAATATAGTGAAAACTTTATATTACTAAATGTACTACAGTACACCTAATGTATTAAAATTTTTTATCTTGTAAAATATATGACATTTATATTCAAATTATTCGCTGTCTTCCAAGGATTCCAGCAATGCAATTATATTCTCCTAACTTTAGTCTGGAGATATTATATAAGATAAAAACTAAAGCCTACTGTATAACCACCAAACCTTGCTGGGAGGGGGGGGGGGGAGGAGTGGAGGGGGAAGGGAGGGAGGGAGGGAGGGGTGACAGTGACATGTTTGACAGTTGGCGCCGAAGGTCGAGTGATGTATTTATTTGTTTATTTATGTCCTTGAGATTGAGTTTTTGTTTTCTGCTTATAAAATGTCATAGAAGTGACCGTTCAGAATATAATTAATATTGCTGGAATTCTTATAAGATAGTGATTAATTCAAATGTAAACATGCGATAGTTTGCACTAGACAAAAATCTTAGTAATCATTTTGTACATTATTTTGATTGCATATACAGTACAGCTTTGCCCTCAGGACAGTGTGTGCATGTAAATGAGTTTCAATAAATGAATAAAGTTACATATATCGAGCCAAAAATAATAGTTAAAAAACTTTATATAAACAGAGCTTGGATGGCTAAATTTTAGAATGACCAATAATTTTAATAAAAAATAATGCACAAATATAAAAAAGCACAATTTTCTTGATATTTACTCCACTGGAAACGAATGTAAACATAGAACAGATTACTGAATTGGCAGACTAGCCCATCAGCTGATCAGCTGATGCTCACAACATAACGTGTTTGTCGTAAGGATTTCGGTAATCGAAGTTTTATTCGTTCACCGAATTGAAGATCCTTATGGGAGGTAATTTGTTAACCAAAATTCGTTAATCAAACCGTTCGTTAACTGAGGGGCCAATGTAGTCCATAATGCGACGTCGACATCCCACCCATCTCCACCCCTTGAGAGTTGACATTTGTTTACTGCTCGCTCTAGGGCAAGAAATGATGGTAGCAATTTGTGTGATGGAGGGTGCAGGAGGGGGTTTTGAGAATTGCAATTAAATGCCAGGTAGCGACGTGTCCTCCTAATATTACGTATTAAGTAATTATTAGATGTGTTAATTGCCTGTTTGTTGGCCTGGCGAGTTATTGCTAGGCATTAACATACTTGGGTATAAAGCTAGATGTCGCATTCTGGACTACAGTAGAAGTCTAAAAACCAGGACTGCTTGGGGATTGGGTCGGTCCAGATTTTCGGATTTTCCGGATTCTCAGGCAGTACTTTTAAAATTCAAATTTAAGGAGGAATAAAGAAGAGATGAACAGGTACATTTTGATAGTTTATTCATTAGCAAATATAGCATGCTTCATTTATCAAAACGAACAGTTTTAAAGAAAAAGCTGTGAATTCTAGAATTTATTCTTTGCCTTTTTTATATCATAAATTGTAGACTTTCCAATGTCGTATGTTTCCATTAGAACAGTATTGCTCACACCACGTTCTAGTTTCTTAATTATTTCAAGTTTGTCACCCAATTTCAACGTGTTCTTCTTTCTCTTCACATAACGAAGTTTAGGCGACCGCATGGTCGCTTGTTGTCGCTGTGCAGCTGTGGCGCTCACTCATGAGCATATACACACAAAAGCCAGTTAAAAAAAAAAAAGTTTGAGTTTTCGAAAAGTCCGGATTCTCAGGTGGTCCGGATTTCTGGACTTTTACTGTATATCACAAAAACTGTTTTTTATAAAAAAAAATGCATTTTTTCATGTGTTAGGTAGTAAATTAGAGTACTGACTACTTACGTACTATTCATCAGTAGCTGGGTAAATTTAGTTCATGTTTGTGAACCAATTTCATGTTTTTAGGGGTATGATTTTGAGGTGTTTTTGTCATTGGGGAGCCAAACCTTATTTTTCTCATATGTTCTTTTACTTGTGATGCATAAATTCACCTAATGAATGTTTTGTTTTTTTAACCTCACCCATTCGTATTTCGAGGGATACCAGTAGTTGCGTACCATTTATCATAAGTTAGACGTTTTTTTCTTGTTTGCGAACTAATTTCGTATTTTGGGATATGATGTTGGGGTATATTTGTCATTGAGAAATTGAACCCTATTTTTCCTTTTCCCCATTTGTTCCGTTATTTGAGATACGAATATTTGCTTAACAAATTATTTTTAGAACCAAACCCATTCCTATATTGAGGGATACCTGTATTGACTGTTGTCTTCAAGCAATCACTGGCACATGGGTGAATACTGTACGTACTTGAAAAATACAGCAATCATTCCTTAATATGTAATTCCTTCCAACGGAAGTTCAATTTAACGGAATGAATGTGTTTCAGTATTTACAGCTCTATCTAGAGGTGTTCCTGCAGTAAGAATCTTAAAGGTCACTCATTGAAGCTCCATATGTAAAAAATATAAGCTAATTAAAAAGTGTTAGAGGTCAAATATGAGGGATAACAACTGGAATCTATAATAGCTTAATACAGTACAAGAAAGTTCAACTCACTCTGAAGCCATGGAAGGAGTAGCGATGCTGGGATGGTTATGGCAAACTTCATCACAATACACTTCACAAAGATGGCCCACAATTGATTATATGAAGTCGGAATAAGGAGTCCTGCAAAAAATAAATTATCATAATTCTCCTAATAATATTAAGATTAAGCACCAAAGTGATAAAACATTATAATAATTATAAATTATAAATCTTTAATATATATGAATATGTAAAAAGTTATCTAGAAAATCAGCCCAGAAATGTATATGAAACAAATAATATCACCACAGCAGACCATGAGGGCAATTGCCGTGGGTATAACAACAACAAAGCCATATGATTGATCCTGTCATGGTTTTGACTATTCAGTACAACATGGCCTGTGATGTCCACCTCCATTATGTCTTAATCGCATCACAAAGCTGGATGGAGATTCTAAAAGAAAAGAATTTCTGAAGGAATGTTTGTTGTCATTCATAAGAGAAAGACAGGCCTAAACCCACTCCTACACCCCCTCCTGAAATTTCACATTGAATTTAAGTAAATCTCAAAAATGACCCTTGTAAAACAATATACAGTCGGTCCCCGACTTACGACGGGGTTAGGGACCTACGACCAGGTCGTAAGTCAAATTGGTCGTAAATCGAAAATGCAAAAACAATTGGTTCCAATTGGTTCCATCTCACAGAAAATGTACATACAAAGTAAAGCCAAATAAATGCAGTCATGCGCCAGTTAACGTCCGACCGAACAACGTCCAATCGCATATACGTCTGTGGCCCCCCGAAAAAAACAAATCCTTGACGCCTGCTGGACCACCACTCCACGACCCCCTGACGGAGACACGATGATATCCTCCCCATACTGGTCAGATATTATGTGTTAAAGGAATATGGTTCCTTACTTAGGCTCTTTTTAAGCATTTGCCTCCAGGTGTAATGTTAACCTACATCTATTGAGGATAAAATCTTTCACTTACAAATTGACAATAACACATTTGCTGAAATCAGACATATCTAGTTGCCTCAACAATTGCAACCCCAGTTGCAATTGGGGTTGCAATTTCAAATTCTGTGGCATTACTAAGAATAACGAAGTCTCTGATGCACTCTAAGATTAAGAGAGAAAACGGAGGACTCAGGCGTCCTGATGTGAGAGAAAACGGACTCGTATGATGGGGGACCAAATAAAAAAAGCATAGCTACATGTTTTGTGGACTACAGTGTTAAGCGTATCCTTTTGATCACTTTGTAATAAACCTAGCCATGCCTATGTCTGTTTATGATATTTACCATAACAT